ACTAAAGGCAGCTGTCCAGTCACACCAAAAAAACACAAACAGAGAGAGAGAGAAGGAAGAAAAAAAAAAGCAAACAGCAGGGGTCCAAGAGCGCCAATACCGAACGCCATTACATCCCCAGACTAACTGGGGGGAGCATGGGAAAGGCATATTGCAACACGGCTCCCATATTTTCAAAAATTTACGTTGGGAGTCATTGCAGATACTCGACATCTGTTCGTTGAGCATCGTAGTGGTCATACGATCCTGCACCCCCTGAAGAGGGACAAATGGGCTCTTCCAGGCCTGAGCAATTGTTCTAGTGGCCAATAAAAACAAATAGGAAGCCAACTTCTGCTGGTGAGCCAAGAGGCCCGGTATGGGGCAATGAAGCAAGGCATACCGAGCATCCCGGCGTATGGAGAGAAGGAACAAGGTGAAAAGGAGGCCAAACACATGAGACCAAAAACGAAACAGTCTCGGGCATGACCACCAGATATGCAATACATCCCCACGATGGCCACAACCCCGAAAACATTGATCACTACAGGCAGGGTTAGCCTGGGCCAACCGAGCCGGAACCCAATACCAACGAAACAATACCTTATAGGCTGCCTCCAGTGTGGTCATATTAAATGAGCATTTAGCTATGAGTGACCAGGCCTTATTCCAGTCCTCCGGATCCACAGCCACTCCCAGGTCGCGCTCCCACTGAACAACATATGAAAGAGAAGTATGCGACGAGCGTCTGTTCAGAGCTGCATAAAGAAGGGATATAAGGCCCGGGGGGGCCCCCGGACGCTGCTGGCAAAGCTGTTCAAAGGCAGATTTCTGGTACAGGAAAGCATACGTGCCCCGCAGCGAGAGCAGCCAGTGCCGCAATTGAAGGTATCGAAAGAGTTCCGCCGGGGGGACATCCCGGGATTCCCGTAGAGAATTCCAGGTGGGGAAGGACCGAAAAATAAAACAGTGTCACACCTGCGAAAAACCATTAGTCACCCACCAAGAAAACGCCCTTGGGTGATCTAAACCCGGTGGGAAAAGAGGGTTGTTAATAATTGGGAGCAAAGGCAGAAATGGTGACATCAGGCCACCAGAGTAACGTACTGAGTCCCAGACTTGTAAGCCATGAAGCAACATCGGACTCAGTGCCATAGGGCACAGGGCAGGGGGAAGCCATAGAAGCATCGACGTTGCGATAGGGGCACAATTAGGTAGTTCCAACAGGACCCAGAGGGGAACGTCAGAAGAGGAGTGCAACATAGACAGCGGGGCAATCTGGCTCGCCTGATAATAGTTACATTAGGCACCCTAAGACCACCCTGGAGTCTATGAGCAAAGAGCGTATTTCTGGATACTCTGGGGTGCTTATCGGCCCAGATAAAAAGCATAAACGTTGCCTGAAGCAACCAAAGAAAATGAGGGGGAACCCGCACTGGGAGTGTGCAAAAATAATATAACAATTTTGGCAAGATGGTCATTTTCACCGAATTAACCCGTCCTATCCAAGACAGGTGCGGAAATTGCCAAGAATGCATAAGAGAGGATAGAGAGCTAAGCAATGGATAATAATTTGCAGCAAACAAGGAGTCATAGGTGGGGGTCAAGCAAATGCCTAAGTATTCAAGAGAAGAGGAAGCCCATTTGTAAGGGAAGTGGGATTGTAGGCGCAAAACCAAATCTGAAGCCAAAGTAATATTGAGAGCGACAGTCTTATCCAAGTTAATACAGAGACCCAAAATCAAGGAGAAGCGCTCAAGAACCTGTTGCAAATTAGGAAGCATCGTCAAGGGGTTAGTAAGAGTCAGGAGGGCATCGTCAGCAAAAAGGTTCAGCTTGAACTCCTGTCCAGCATAAGGAACCCCCGATATATTGCAATCGGTCCGGAGTGCTAAAGCCAGCGGCTCAAGCGCCAGGACAAAGAGCACTGGGGACAGGGGGCAACCCTGTCTCGTCCCTCACCCAATAGGAAAGGGATCTGAAAAATACCCAGCGTATTTAACAGAGGCCGAAGGAGAAGAATACAAGGCCTGAATCCAAGAAAGAATAGAATCCCCAAAACCCCAACGAGACAGCACAAACTGCAGATATTCCCAGGATAGAGAATTAAAGGCTTTATACTGTATATGTCTAAAGACAGTAAGAATCCCGGGATTTTCCGCTGTTGCAGAAAATGTATAAGATGGACCACCTTACGAACGTTATCACCCGCCTGCCTCCCAGGTGAAACTATATTTTTAATCCCAGACCCTATATCGTTTATAAATATATTAAAAAGTAAGGGTCCCAACGCTGAACCTTGGGGTACACCATTGACAACCCTAGACCATTCAGAGTATGAATCATTAACCACTACTCTCTAAATTCGGTCTTTCAGCCAGTTTTCTATCGATTTACATACAGATTTTTCCAAGCCTGTAGATGTCACTTTACACATTAGCCGTGTGGGGAACTGTGTCAAACACTTTTGCAAAATCCAAGTATACCACATCCACAGCCATGCCTCTGTCCAAGTATACCACGTCCACCGCCACCCCTCTGTTCAAGGTTTTGCTCATCTCCTCATAAAAAGAAATCAGAGTTGTTTGACAACTTCTGTCTTTCATGAATCCATGCTGTCTGATGCTTACATTTTTTTTTTCAAGCAAGAACTCATCCATGTGGTCTTTTATTAAACTCTCCAGTATCTTCCCAACTATAGAAGTTAAACTAACAGGTCTATAATTACTTGGTAAAGATTTTGATCAGTAGAACAACTGTAGCAGAAGTAGCTGAAAATGGTTTAACTAAGGGGAGCACAAGTTACTCACAAAGATATTGAAAGTTCAGGGTGCTGAATGGAGGGAAGATTGTCAATTGTAGAGGTATCAAGATGGGGGGTGGGGGAAGAAGAACTTAGGGAATTAAGCAACTGTCTCGAGGATGGTTTGTTTACGTTGGCTGGCTCTCAAATGTTAGAAGGGTAAGGCAATGATGAGATATGGTGCTAGTGACGACAATTCAGTACAAAGAATGGGTTAACAACCCTCTCACCAACTCCTGCGCTTCAGCAGTAGGTCCTGATGGTGGAGAGGCTTCTCATGTGCTGATGATACAACTCTGGAGAACCCGCTTGGCTCTTCTGGGATGGCTGGGATGGACTATCAACTCCATTCTGTATATGGATAAAGCTGGTCCCACAGCTCTGCTCTGTGCCTCTGGTATGGCTGAAGCTTGTCTGGCAGCTCCACTCTGTGCCTTTGGTACAGCTGAAGGCAGGTTGAGAATTCTGCTCGCTGACTCTAGGCTGCTGAGAGTAGGCCACTCAGGCATACAGGTGCTACAGGCTCAGCACTCTGTCCCCACTTCTGCCTCCATTCCTGGTCTGGCACCAAGTGCCCTGATGTTACCAGGCAGCCTTTCCAAAAGTACTCTCTTCCCCTCTTCCTTAGCTGTAGTGACTCCTGGGAACCATGCTTTTCTTTCCCACAGAGTACAATTCCACCCAAAGGTGATGTAATTGCACATGCCATGATCCCTTATTTTGTACCTTTTCCCTTCTGACACCTGGTCTGGGCCAGTAAGAAAATAGTAATGAAAGTTAATAGGAACATAACAGGCAGCATGCTGGCCTTACTACAGCATAGGCCGTGTTTACACATATGGGAATGCATAGATGTTCTGTGCATCCCAGTGCAGACAGTCTCAGCATGGGAGGCAGGCCTTTGCCCGCCTGAAGAGTTGCCAAAATTCCTAGTGGTAGTAGACAAAATTCAATAGGACTGAATCATTCTCACAAACCAGTCAACCATGTGGTGTCTTCAGCTCATCTGACAGAACTGACCCTTCCCCAGCATGAGTGGATGGCATTGTAAGTTGGTAATCAATGATATTGCAGGCCTTGCTGTTTGGGGGAGGTTGTTCTAATTTGACATACAGTATATGGTCTCTTTCACACTTTTTTTAAACTGTCATTCCTCTTTGTACAAAGTATGTCCTCTTTTGGATATGGATAGACAGCTGAGACCTCCCTAGAGATGTTAACCCACCCATACTGGGCAAGCATTTCTTGAGATGCCTTGTCTCCCAATTTATAGGTCTGGGCACTTTCAATTGCATTGAACAGCACATACCAAATTGCTTTGATCAAATTGCTAGCTTCTGTCTAGGAGTGTTAATGGGGATGAAAAATACTTAAATGTCATACCTGTTGAAAAAAATCTTTTTTTTTTCAAAACTGAGCCTACGATGGGTTGACTGTCGTCTGACTGCGTTTTTACAAATCTTTAATTCTCTCCTCTATGGGATGACTATGTAACTCCAGCTGGAGTGTTTTTTTCCCTTCTGCCTGTTGATCTAGTGTTAGTGCTGGATATTATCAATGTTTTCACAAGCTTAGACTCAACATTGGTTGTCACCATCTCAGCCTGGCGGTACAGTGATCTAATGACCCCCACTTGTGGATGGTAGAAATTAAAATAAAGATACTAGTCTGTATGAGTTTGTTTTCTGCACATTTTAGTACCCAAGATTACATCCTCTCTGATACAAACAACACAGTTCAAAAAGTTTGGTTTGTTGTCTTTGTGTGTAAACTTAATCACTTGCCCTCCAGAGGATTTACCCCCCCTTCCTGACCAGGCCATTTTTTTTGTGATACAGCTATGCGGAATTTTAACTGACAATTGTGTGGTCATGCAACACACTGCACCCAAATGAAATTTATGTCCTTTTTTTCCCACAAATTGAGCTTTCTTTCAATGGTATTTGATTGTGTGTTTTTTATTTTTTGCACTATAAACAAAAAAAACTTTTTGCTATTAAACATGTCCAGTAAAAAAAAAAAATTAAAAAAACATATTTTGTCATAAATTTAGGCCAAAGTGTATTCTGCTACATCTTTGCTAAAAAAAATTGCAATGCGTGTAAACTAAATGGTTTACGTGAAAGTTATAACGTCAGTATATATTGGAATCGTCTTTATTTATTTATTTATTAAATACTAGTAATGGCGGCAAATGGTCAGTCCACCCCTGGTTCAGACTTATTTCAACAGTATGAAATAATAATGCAAAAGACACAATTCTTTAGTAACACCTCTCTATTAGGATTGTTCAAAAGAGTAGGCCACAGAATAAAGGTTTAGGAGGTACATCCCTAGTTGACACATATAAGCAAAGCACTGATAAAATGGAAATAACCAATAGCAACAGGGCTTGTTGAATTATCAGCTCCCTCTGGGCCACAATAGTGAATGCAACGAATTATGTAAATAAATAAATATATACACACACATATATAAAATAATCTGGCATAAATAGGTATAGACAGCCCAATATTAATAGCTATGGCTTAGATGCAAAGAGGTCCCTTTAAATAGAAATTGCAACTTGAGTCCTGAGATGTTTAGTTCCTGTCGTGATAGTAGCCACTGTCTTCTGCTAGCAATGGTGGGGTCCATTTACAGTAGTGAGTATTGGTAATTCAATGAAGAAAACAGGCTGTGGTAAATGCTCAATGCAAACATCTCTTGGTACTGAGGTGTAAAGGTATCTGCATGCAGTGTCTCTAGTGTGTTGTCAAAAAGAGTTTGGGCTTCTACCCGCTCACTATTCCCATAGATAGCATGGCCTCCTAGGAACAGAGTTCTTGCACAGGCTTCTTGCATGTTCACAGAGAAGTGCAGAGTTACCTCCTGACAGCCTGGCTGTCCCTTGCTGTAGAATATATAAGCTTTTCCAGTGTCCCTCTGTACTAAGCTGTCTCTGGTAGTTGTAGTCCAATTGGCACTCAGGAACACAGCATGTACTGGCTATAGGACTACAGATCCCAGAATCCTCAACTGTACAAGAGCTGTAGCCACTCTGCTAACAGGAAGTGATGTAGCAGTCTTAGTACGGGGCACTAGGGGGAAAAAGGATTAATTGTAGTCCCATTTTGTAATGATATAACTGGTACCGGGCTACATATGGGCTTTGATTGAGGTCTGAATGGTGTAGTATCTCCTTTCAGGGCCACCAGCCCAAGATATTGCTTGTACTGGCCTGGGGAGCAAGGGGGAAGGGGGTGTGTCCCTTGGCCCCCATTTACCCCCCTACCCCAGAACAGCCATCTACCTCTGTCTCCCTTTGGTGGGCCATATTCAGATATAGGTAAACATACTTGTACTTTTACACCAATTAATACTTGTTTCGTGTTCTTGATGTACTACCACTTAAAATACAATGCCCTGGGAGATTGGAACCCTTTACAGACACATTTTCTAACACCTTTTCTCGCAATCTTCAACAACCTGAAAGTACATTTTTCTCCCACAAATATACTACAATCACCTGAGTGACATTTTGATGTGAAAGAGCGGCAAGACTTGGTATAGGCTATTGTGTCTTTTAGACCCACATGTAGGTATTGCATGACATTGAGGCCTATGGACTATATTGTTTAGTTCTGGTATACTTAAGCTCTATTCATCTTTTGTATTTAGAAGTTGATGCCTAAAGCAGGGCTGTAACACACATTCCTTCTAAGCTTTATTGTTGAGGGGAGTCATTCAGTTGTATCACTTGCAGGGACTAGCTCAGAAGCCAGAACCTCCCTAACGACATTCCTTCAAAACCCAAACAAAACGTTAATCAGATAGTTACAAATCCTTTGGTGGCTGGTGAAACAAAAAGATTTCTTTTTTCATGTGTAAACAGGCAATATTTCTTCATGCATTCTATTTTACGCCCACTTACCGTTTACATTATTCTTTGCACTGGTGTGTTTCTAGATGAAATATCTACTTACTATTAGGAAACCAAATTACTACAACCACAAATATGTTTTAAAGCAAAATCAAAATATATATAGTGCATATATATACCCCAGCGCCCAAATAAACAAACTCAGTGATTATGCAGCTGTGCAACAGTGAAAAACACCAATCAATAACATCAAATTAACAGCGCAAGATCAAGATCTCCAAATAAATATATTATAAGTGCATAAATCCAAAATCAAATGTCCAAGTAAAAAAAAAATGTCCTTATTTTCATTGAATTTCAGTGTATAATTTATTCAACATATGCTGCCACCTTCCACCACGTGCAAAATAATATCAACCGCACTCACCAGATGCAGGTGAGTAATGAGCCTTATAGGATATAAGGGATCCTAAGCCCTCTAGGTAAGATCAAAACTTCTTATTCACCATTAATGGGGATAAAAACGCCTCCACTTTATTCCTCCATGAAATCCTCAATATTGCAGAGAAAAAAAGAAACCACATAGTGTAATACTGCCATATACTCCTAAATAAAAGGATAAATTCAGGCCATTCACATGGTCAAATATAATAAAAAAGCCTTGTTTAATCGCCTGTATGGCTTAAAAGCATCCACGTTCCACACTCAGAAAGATACGTAAGGATCTCACGCTTCAGTTGGATAGCAGAGGATGATCAGCCTTCCCACTCTAAAGATGGCCGCTTGGAACACACTCGGCTTGCGTTCCAAACACCGGAAGTGACGTAGACCCAAATGATGGTGGACCGGAAGTGCGTCAACGCGTTTCACCCCTCCCATAGGGCGTTATCAAGACACCACCTTCAGTCACTCACCCACATTTATACAGCTCATGGAGAGCTCAATTCCATCTGGTATGCAAATGTCCTTAAAGTAACCCCCACTGCACCTCATTGTTTGTGAGTCATTCACATCAATGCTAACAACCACCGCCCACTCCCCATAGCTCATCCTCTGCAACTAATCGTGAGATCCCTTTACAATAAATGAGTTACAAATACAAAACATTCTTTATTTGAAATAATGAAATATATATTAAATAAAAAATAGAAATAAATTAAAATAACAAATAAAGGTATTTAAAAAGTATATTAAATATGAAAAAAATAAAAAAAATAGTAAAAAAAATGGAAAATAAATAATAAAAAATAAAAAAATAAAAATAAGAAAATGAAAATAAAAAAATACAAATAAAAGTAAATATAAATATAAAAATCAAAAACAACTAAATATAAATAAAAATAAATATAAAAATAAAATTAAAATTAAAATGTTATTGATTGATGTTTTAAAGCAAACCTGTGTTGTCTTTAAATTTGCATAATTGGATGGTAGATTGTATTGTGTTAACCTCGGGGTGTCTGCAGGACCACACTTATGCATAGCTAAACCATTCTGTGTCCATACACCCAAAATGAAATTGCTAGTAGAGCAAGGTGATGGTCTACCGTACTGTTCTGGCCAGGGGTTGACTGACAACTCATGGGGCCCCCGGGCAATAGGGGATCATGGGGCCCCTGTGTCCTTGCCCAAACTCAAAAAAGCCTATGAAAAAGGCACCAGGGGCATCTCATGGGGCCCCTACTGACCCTGGGCCCTCGGGCAATGCCCGAGTTTCCAAATGGTCAGTCTGCCCCTGGTTCTGGCTGTTGGTAACAGGAGTAATAATATAGAAATGGTCAAATTGTCTCTCCTTGTATATTTGTCCCCAACCTCAGCGTGCCTGTAATGGGTCCAGGATAAACAGGAAAGGTGGTGGTGTCTGTCTCTATGTGAGACATTATTATTATTATACAGTATTTATAAAGCACCAACAGTTTGCTCTCAGCGCTGTACATTACAATGGGAGACAGTACACGAGACAGTACAGTAACAATACAATTTGATACACGAGGGGTTGAGACATGATCTTAGAGCGAGTGTAGTGTGGAAGAACTAGACAGTCCCTCATTTTGGAGGGACTGCCCCTCTTTTTGCACCTTATCCCTCTGCCCCTTTCCACCTTAGCTGCCTCTCCTTTTTGGTCAAATGTATACACCTCTATGAAAAAAAGAAAAACACATCTTTTGAAGAATAAAGGAAACATACCATTGAGCATGGTAGATTTTCTACAAGAAACCTGTAAAGGCTGATGTGCCAAGGAACTGTATTGACCTTAGGGAGAGAAAAGTTATTATTTGGAGGAATGACTTAAGTGTAATTGTGATTGCAGTTTAACTTAAAAAAAAATAAAAAAAAATGGCAGAATCATACAGTATTATTTTTGGGGGGAGAAAGCTTATTCTTAACTGGAAAAGCTACAGTATTAGAGTGGAGAGGTCAAAGCCTCCAACAGTAGCAGCATAAATAGGTCTAGTGAATAATATTGCCCATTTTTAAATATTTTTACATAAAAAGGTAAGACAATATGTGAGTGTGATGTGGGAGCAACCTTACATTCACAAATAAATAATTGGTACCAAGGAAGTAGAGAATATGGCATTCTGGGAAATTCAAAATTAATGAATAACAGTAATAAATCAACAACAACCCAGTTTATTAAAACTGATATACAGTACATCAATGAAAATCAAGGTATTCTATAGTAGATAGAGGTACAGCTGGACAATATTCCAAAAAGATGTAGATGTAGAAGTGAACAGATTAACATAATGCAAGATTAGGTTAGATTTTAGTAAGTGTAAAATGTTTGATATATAACTCAGTTGTTCCTAAATTTTGCTGTAATAAAACATAAATATTGGAAATTCTGTGATAAAATCTGTCTCTTTAATGTGACCCTGTCAGGTAACAAAAAATGTTCAAGATGAAGTCTCCCTCCAAAATAAGAGTCCTTACATTCACCTTTTTGGAAGCTACTGTATCCTGTCTTCCCTCTATTTAGTACTATGGCTTTCATCAGTGCTTTGACATTAACAATTCTTGGAGTATAGGAGGCCATGGTTTTATCCTCCAGCCCATGTGTCACTAAAGGACTTAACAGTGGCATAGGGAGGAAGGAACTGTGGCCAGGAACACAGACAACCAACAATCCCAGAAGAGTAGAATGTCGAAGGCACTGACAGAGGCTGCATTGCTAAAAATGGAGGAGAGGAAGGAGACGCAAACCTCTAGACAGTTGGGTATAAGAGATCTTCTTTAGCAGAAAAGCCATGTCATAATTTTTATTTTATTGTTCTAAAAATGTGTTGTGCTAATTAAATTAATCTTCAATCATAAACTGTAATATATATATATATATATATATATATATATATATAAAAAATATATATATATATATACTGTACATCAACTTCCATCAATTATCCAGCTGGCACTCAGCTCAGGAGCAAATAATAAAGCAACCATACCAGATAATGTAAAAAAGATTAATTATACTAAAAAACGCACTTACACACAAGC